AAATTGCCCAATTAAATTAATAAATAACTTTTATTGATGTAACAGTAAGAAGAAATTAAAGTTTTTTCCATAATTTATTTCAAAAAAGACAAAAGGTAGTGGATATAGGACAATACCTTCACTTGCGGTTTGATATTGTCTAACTGGGTTCATACATAGTTTCCAACTAAGTAAATATGACTCTTATTGCAATCCATAATTTTTATACCCTAAGATACATAGAGGTAGGAGTATGTGCATTAGTTTGCAACATGGAGAAGGATCCATAAATACTTTTGAGGATATTCATAGAATCACTTTCTGAGTTTATCTATATTTGTCAGTCCATCTATCCATCAGTCTGTCCATATATTTTTGTGAACACAATGCAGGTCGCATTTATTATCCGATTGAGATGAAATTTTTCAAATAATATTTGTTTGTGCCAAGGACGAAGCCTATTGAAATTGGTGATAACCGGATCAGATATAGATATAGCTCCCATATATCTTCAACCGATTTCGGGTTAATTATGCACCAAATGGCCAATATAAGTCCTAATGACCTGAATTTTGGCATATCCGACCGAATTCAGTCTAGAAGTAAGATACATCTATAGCTCCCATATACACATATATTAAACCGATTTTGGGTTAATTGTGCACTAAATGGCCAATATTAGCCCAGGCTAGCTGAAATTTGGCACATCCGATCGAAGTACACAAGTACATAAAATTTTGTAAAAATTGGCTCAGATATAGCTATAACTCCCATATATATGTTTCATCAGATTTGGTGTTTAAGTCCCTCAAATTCGTAATTATGCACCAAATGGACAATATAAGTCCTAATGACCTGAATTTTGGCATATCCGATCGAATTCAGTCTAGAAGCAATATATAGCTATAGCTCCCATATACACAAATATTCAACCGATTTCGGGTTAATTGTGCACTTAGTGGCCAATATCAGCCCAACTGAACTGAATTTTGGCCCATCCGATCGAATTCAGTGTAGAAGCAAGTTTGGTTAACATTGGCTCAGATATAGCTATAACTCCCATATATATGTTTCATCAGATTTGGTGTTTAAGTCCCCCAAATTCGTAATATGCACGCAACAAGAATGATATTTGGTACTATATATCAGATACAGTCCAGCAATATCTGTTTCAAATTTTATCAAGATCGGTTCAGATTAAGATATAGCTCCCATATATCTTCAATCGATTTCGGATTAATTATGCACCAAATGGCCAACGTCAGTCCCAATGACCTGAATTTTGTCAAACCAGCTGAACTCAGTGTAGAAGCAAGTACATTAAATTTGGTGAACATCGGTTTAGATATAGCTATAGCTCCCATATATATGTTTCATTCAATTTGGAGTTTTAAGTACCTCACATACGTAATATGCACTCCACAACAATAATATATGGTACCAGATATCAAATACAGCCCAGAAATACCTCTGTAAAATTTTGTCGAGATCGGGTCAGATTTGAATATAGCTCCCACACATATATTTAGCCGATATCATATTTATTGTGCACCAAATGGCTAATATCAGCCCAAATAAACTGAATTTTGATAATTCCGACTAAATTCATCTTGGAAACAAGCCATTCAAATTTGGTTATCCACCATATATGTAATACCAGCCCAAAGTGGATAGATTTTTTCATATTTAACCGAATTCTTCTATGTGGTGAAACTTAGTCCGGTATATCTATTGCTCCAATAATTATTTTTATACTCTCAACCATATGGCTACAGAGGGTATATATCATTTGATACGGCCAAAACTTGCTCATCGAAATAACGGAGTCGATTTAGCGTACGTCCGTCTGGCTGGCTGGTGGGCACGATGACTCTCGAAGGCAGTATCCGATTTGGTCCAAACTTGGTATATCATAATATTATTATCAACTTAGATCGAATTCGGAGATATGCAATATCGGTACCTCCCACACAAAAGGTCAAAATTTTCAAAAAAAAATATTTTACTGCACAGAAAGAGAATATATGATCCGATTTTGCTCCAACTTTTCATATTTTAATATTTGAATTAGTCCACTGCATCAAGTACCTCCCCACAAAGGCTCAATATTTTGAATAATTATAACTCTTATAAAGTCTAAGAGTCGGTTTGTCTTCAATTTACAAACATCACAATATTTTTATTAACCCAAGGTTCGGTGTAAAGATGGAATATATCGGCACACTCATTGTTGTACCTCCCCAACACAGAGTCAACATTTTGAATATCCATGAAGCTCATAAAACGCGAAGATAACATCCGATTCAATTCAGACTATGCACATCTTAATATTTATTTTAACACATGTTCTGGTGTGAAGATGATAGATATCGGACCATTCCTTCTGGTATCTCCCCCACATAAGGTCAAAATTTTGAATATCCATGAAGCTCATAAAACGCGAAATTAACATCCGATTTCATTTAGACCTCAATATTTTCAAAAACATGAGACCTGTTATAAAGATAGTAGATATCGGACCACACCTTCTTGTACCTCCCCCACAACGGGTTAAAATTTTGAATAATTATATCTCTCATAAAAAATGAAATAAGCATCCGACTCTCTTAAAATTTCGCCCATTCCAATATATATATTAACACAATATCAGACGTGAGATGATATCTATTCCACAAACGATCACAATTTTAAATACTTAAATCTCTTCTAATTCCCGATATTTTTATTGGTATTAGATGATACTTCGATCCACTATATCTGGCAACTCATGAAAATTTCAACATTCTCTTAAAATTATCACATACAGGGTTGCCCATATTCGACGGACCCATGTTTTTTTTTTTTAAATCAAAGAAAAAAATAAAAATTTGGCGGTTGGCAGTGTTAATCATTTAATTTGTTTGTTTACATCAATTTTTGAATATGATATCTCTCAAATGGCCGCCTCTGGCGTTGATGACGTATTGTGCCCTTTTTGCTGCATTTTCCATCGTTTTTTCCAACATTTCGGCCGGAATAGCGGCTATTTCTTCACGAATGTTGTCCTTGAGCTCTTCTACGGTCCTTGGCTTGTTAACGTAAACCTTTGACTTCAAATATCCCCACAAGAAGAAGTCAGGCGGCGTCAAATCGGGCGAACGCGGTGGCCACTCCAAATCACCACTTTTCGACATCAAACGGCCCGGAAACAAATTCTTCAGTAAATCGATTGTTATGCGACTTGTGTGCGGTGGAGCGCCGTCTTGTTGAAACCAGAACTGCCTTATACGCTTTCGACGAATAATTGGCATCACAAAATTGGTCATCATGTCGCGATAACGCTCCTGATTGATGGTAACAGCATGGCCATTTTCATTTTGGAAGAAAAACGGCCCAATGACCGTTTTCGCACTAACGCCGCACCAAACCTCGAAGAGGCGCTTCTTGAATCTCCTGAGGATTTTCAGTGGCGTAAAAACGGCAATTTTGCTTATTTACGTTCCCATTCAATGTGAAATGGGCTTCATCGGATATGATAATTTTGTTCCAAAATTGCTCGTCATCTTCGGCCATTTCGATGACTCTTTGGGCCCATTCCAATCGACGAGGCAGCCAACATTTTTTGCGTCAATTGAATTTTATACGGGAAGAAATGCAAATCAATGCGAATAATCCGTTGTAAAGTGGACCGAGCCATGCCCAACTGCTGAGAACGGCGTTGGATGTTCGGGATGTTCTTGGGGACTCTCTCTCAACACTGGCTCGTACGGCAGCGATATTCTCGGCCGATCGCCTTGGTCGACTTTTATATGGCCTCTTCGGATTAGAAAGAGCCTTACCAGTCGAAAATTTTACGTATAAACGTAAAATTGTTCTTAGAAGGCGCACTTCTCACATTTTTTAATGTTTTAAAATCACGTTGAGTTTTCACAATTGACTTCTTCTGTTGAATGTAAATTTCAACTATTTCAGAGCACTCGCGTGGCGTGTATTGGTTCATGGTAAAAATCTGCTTGGACTGACGCTTCAAACGCGGTATGTGATTAAGCGATGTGAAATATCTGTCAAAAGTTATGGCGTTGCCAGATGGGTCCGTCGAATATGGGCAACCCTGTATCTCATATCAATTGGTATAGTCCAAATATGAAACGCTTTAGTTTTTATATCAGACAGATATCAGAAAGGTGTTGGACAATATTGGCCAAGTTCCCGAATTGTGATTACTCTGAAGCCATTTCAAATAAAATTCGAATTTGGTATGATCTACTGCACATAAATTCCCAATATATACTTGTTTGTTACGTGATCTCTACTAAATCATATCATATAGTCTGTCCCCTCCGGCTTTTGACCTTTTCTTACTAGTTTTAACATCTAATTGAAAAAGGTGGAGCTATGTACTCTTTTTCGCACCAATTACAAGAAACCAAAAGTCGAATAAATAAGATATCGATTAATTATAATCTGTTTCCGGTGAAATATTAGAAACATAAATTTACATCTTTCAATCACTATCATGAATCAATCTTCAAGAAATTGATTACATTACATTTTTTCTCATTATGGAGTTTTTCTTACCTGTAAAATCGCTCACTCCCCAACCAACACCCATTAGCAGGAGGGTCAATTTTTCGGAAAAAAAAAACACAGGCACTACACCACCACTGAGGGAAAACAGAAAACAAAAAGAATACTAATTTCCATGACTTGCAATTAGCATTTGGCAAAAGAGGGTGGGGCGAAAGATGGTGAAACATAAATTATAACTCACTGCAGATGCCAAATAAAATCACAGGGAAAAAATCCAATTGTTATTTCAAACTCAAACTCCAGTTGGCTGGTTTGGTGGTAACTTACCTCCCGTCAGCTAGCCAACCATTCGAGAAACCATCAACCAACCAACATTCATAAAATTCCTCGCAATATTTCATTTTCGTTTGCTTTGCTTCCAATATCCTTTATTATTACGTTGCTCATTTATTCAATCATTTCGTACGTTGCCGGTCTTTCATCTTTCTCATTTCTCCAACTCTTTTTTGCAG